CGTACCCCCAGGGGTCCGCGTACCCCCATTTGAGAATCACTGCCATAGAGGGTTAAGTATTTTTCCACACCATGCCTTCTCTGATTTTACCTTTCTTCTACCATGCTATATGATTTAATCACATTTTGCATTCCCAAACAGAAACCATCTTCACCAGAACATGGACATAGTTAGTTGTATCACATCACAACCCAGTCTCACGGCATTTCGTGTTCACCAACACGATTTTTAATCTATTGATTCGTGTTCACCAACACGATTTGCTCCTTTTTTTTCGTGTTGCACAGCACGATTTTAAAAGCAATGTATTTCTACTGCCTGCAGCACGTCGGGTCGAGGAAGACCGGAAGCTGTGTGGTTCATAAAAACATACGTATTTTTCTCCGGTCGGGTCGAGGAAGACCGGAAGCTGTGTGGTTCATAAAAACATGTTCTTACTCAATATCAAGCCACAGTTATTGCTTTTATTTGAAATCGTATAATTTCGGACTTTTGTCGCCGTCTGTGAGGAAAATAAATGGGGCTCAGAGCCTCAGAATACGGAAATCTGTATTTTTAAATATTTGTTTCCTTCTAATTCGATATTCTTTTCAAAATAACACACTGTTATTTACTCACCAATAACACACAATTATCCTTGCTTTTATTTATTGGTTTAATTCCATAATCTCGGGCTTTTTTGGCGTCCGTCAGGAACTGAATTTCAAAATAAAAATAACCGGAAACAGACGTAGGCCTATAAGGGACATTTCGAGCATCATTGCGATTGTCAACATTTCTGAATTGAGGATGGCCGAAGACACTACACTACCCATAATCCCCAGCTATCGTTTAGGACTACAGTCCCCGTAAGGTTACGCAGAGCGTCAAACAGCTGTGTGAAATGGAACGAAACCACGCCAGACTATCCAAAACTGGAATCGAACGCCCCCCCAGAACTACACATGCTGGCTATTGTGTTTCGCAAAATGTTCTATGGGACATCTCTACTGAACGTTTTCGTTTTTCCCACAATTAGAAGTTGCCAGTATTAAACACATTGGTGTTATCAAATGTAAAACATATCATTAATAAATGGGTGAAAATCGCTTGTGTCCATAATGCGCAGCATTAATACCCACATGACAGCTCATTGTTACTTTGTAATTCTACTCCACTACAATTCAGAGGTTAACCTGGTATTTTTACTCCACTGCATTTATTTGAGTTACTTTGCAGATTCTGATTAATTATGTGAAATATAAACAACCCTTAAATCAGATTTTAGTTACACCTGAGTAAAATTCAGGTAAGGTGATTGTCAAGTGCCAACAATCAGGAGAGATATTTGATAGTTGGTCCTTGAGAAGACTAAACATGTATCTGCAATTGACATGAATGGAAACGAGTAATAAAGTATATTCATTACTCGTTATTCTCTACTAATAGTTAATTAAAGACTGTATATTATGGCTATTTTGCACATCCCTTTCAAGATTTTCAAAGGTGTATTGACATATCATATACACAACTACGGTGTAGTTATGCAATGAATGAAACACTTAGGTCACAGGTTCTTCAACAGTGCATTACAAGACATCTATCAATATGTGTGTACCTCCACCATTAAACTGTCATATTCTGCACATTTCTTATTCTATCTACATACATAAGAGTATAATCCATATGTATAATATCAGTTAAAATAAGTGCTTCAACATAGTTAACATTGCAGGAAAGCAATATATTAGACGTTAAGTACTTTGTCAGGCTTAATATTTATCTGTAGATAGATACCCCCAACGGTTTTTTCTTATTTAAAAGAAGACCTTAATCTGTTATTTAATGTTTAAATAAAGGTTAATTCGTTTTTCTGTTTTGCACCTCCTCCTATTAATATATTTGTACATTCTGCACTAAACTGTTTTATTGTAGAGATCACTTATAGTATCTTCTTGATTTTTTATATTCTATATTTATACTTTCCCCCTATGAAAGTATGTACTCTTAATATTTTTTTAATCAAATAAAACACAATAATTCAATAACGTGCTTTAACCACTAGACGGTGCACACAAGGTACACACAGCCATAATAACTTTGTATTATTAGTGTAGGACACTTTTGTTTTCGTACAACATCTGAAGATGTGTAGTTTTATTCATGCTTTCACATAATTTTACAGCATATTGCTATACTATTTCAGACTCGGTATTTATATTCTTACATTCAAAGAAAATCAGTAATATCTTTAAAAACTACAGTCCTTTTATATCAGCTGTGCACCGTTATGGTGTAAATATAACCTATCTGTGAATTAGATCAAATGTAAAAGTCAGCCGAATTAGTGTTGATACTGCAAGGAGACGTATTGTGTGAAGAGAAATTGAAGATGTTGTTTAATTGTTGAATATATTTATGATCCACGTCAAGTATTCAGTTTCGGCGGCATTTTCTCAGTTTTTCCAAAGGTCTTCTCATCAGGGCTCTATAAATAAAGAACTACGGCAGATCTGTAATATACAATGCAGCCGAACCGTGTATTACAATGCCGTTATGTGATGACTTTCAAAGAGAAAAGCAAGAGCGCTCGGAATTAAGTATTCTTTTAAAAAAAAATCCGGATTTCATATCATATAAACACCAAATCCCAGCATGCATTGAGGCTAAAACATCCAATAAACGAGCTTAAAACCATAGCTGAGGATCTTGGGTAATCGCTCGAAATGCCTACGTCTGTTTCCGGTTATTTTTATTTTGAAATTCAGTTCCTGACGGACGCCAAAAAAGCCCGAGATTATGGAATTAAACCAATAAATAAAAGCAAGGATAATTGTGTGTTATTGGTGAGTAAATAACAGTGTGTTATTTTGAAAAGAATAACAAATTAGAAGGAAAAAAAGATTTTAAAAAAATACAGATTTCAGTATCCTAAGGCTCTGAGCCCCATTTATTTTCCTCACAGACGGCAACAAAAGTCCGAAATTATACGATTTCAAATAAAAGCAATAACTGTGGCTTGATATTGTGTAAGAACATGTTTTTATGAACCACACAGCTTCCGGTCTTCCTCGACCCGACCGGAGAAAAAGACGTGCTGCAGGCAGTAGAAATACATTGCTTTTAAAATCGTGCTGTGCAACACGAAAAAAAGGGGCAAATCGTGTTGGTGAACACGAATCAATAGATTAAAAATCGTGTTGGTGAACACGAAATGCCGTGAGACTGGGTTGCACATCATGCCTGTGCAGCTGCGGGAAAAGACTCAAGAAGCCAGTCAGAAGGAACCTGGGGGCAATTGGCTGCTGTTGTGTTCCTCTTCCTTTTCCCCTCCTTGGTCTTTTTAAGCTGCAGGGAGCATAGTTCTGTAGCTTGACAAACTGCAGTAATGCCTGGTGATGGCCCCTGTCCTCAGTCATCTTTGCACCAAGTCATCTGAGGTCATTGCTTGTGGCCAAGGCATGCTGGTATCCCCCTTTTTCATCTTGTTTCATGAAGCCTGTGATTCAACAGATTGCTGTTTCCTTGTACGCAGAGAGATTGCAAACATCTGGAAGGTCCAAAAAGATGAACAAAAACTCTTCTGCTGCCTCCATATCCACCCTATCTGCAGTTTTCACAGTTGCAGTTGTTGAGTCAGTGACACATGAATTAACTGGAGATACTTTAGCTCTTTTCACAATACTAGGCTACTCAAGGGGTGTCAGCCACACTTTGGCTTTGTCACTCTTCTGTTTTCTCTGCACCATTTTAATATAAAAGGTTTAATAAGCAGAAACATTGACCCCTGCTCATTTCTGCTAACACTGTTAACATATTAGTTAAATAATACTAGAATTTCACTCACCAAGAAAACTGGAGAAGATACTTCTCGGACGGTCTGTTGGTACAATCACCTACACCTTTTGTCTGATATTTGTTTGAAAATCACCCCAAAGGCACTGGGCTGAGAAGAAGACTCCAAATAGCTATGGGCTAGCATAGCAGAAAGCTAATGCATAACAGTGGGCCGGTACCTGTCCTTAAAAACGGCCACACCCTTATTTAAGCATATATGGTTTAGCCTGAATATAACTTTAACGGATTAGTTATAATGTTATATTTAAAAAAAGCACCCACAAAACCAGGCTGTAAACTGTATCTGTTAACTTCTGTTGTAAAGTTTGGCATTTAACATGGAGGTCTATAAAGATTGCTGAGTGGCCACTCGATGAACTGCGGTTCATTGCTCTGGGGTTTGCTGCTTGATGCCTGCACCTGTTTATGTGGCCGTGTAAAAATAACATCAGATTGGAGATAACCTATATCTTCTGCAAGGGTGTATTTAATTTGGTCATGGACTGTTCATTTGTTTAACCTTGTCATCCTCTGCTAAGCCTTTTATCTTATACCACTAACATAAACTCAAACACAAGAAATATCCATTCTGTCACATAGTAAGTCTTTAGGAGTTTGTCCTTGTCAATTAATAAGGAAAAATAAACGTTGTACAGAAATATGTTGATGAGAAACACAATTATGAATAAGTATCAATGTTGCAGCTTTAGGGGATAACCAGTGCAATAGAATAAGGGTACAAATGAGTCACACTTGCTTAATACATTATGAAAACATGCTGACTGAAGCGCAATTACTCATTAGTGTGTGAGATGAGGCGAGATGATCCAATTCCTGGAGAGCGTATAGAAATAAAAGGAAAAGCTTTTTGAAAATCGAATGTTACTGGAATCAGTGAGCTCTCTTGCCAGGAATACTCTTAAAGTCACTTCCCTTTTCACATACAGACCGTAGAAACTGTTCCCGCTTTGCTTGCAGTCAACCAATGACCCTAATAATAACCTTTCTTTTTTTTTCGTGGACTGTGAAATGAACAGAAACAGAAACAACTGCAATCACTTATTAAGTTTCAGGTCGGTTACAGAGAGTTGGATGGTGTTGCTGAAACCATTTTCAGGATTTCAGAGATGACTTGAATTGTACCATGTTTCTGTAATGTATGTAATTAAAAAACAAAATGTAGATAATACAAAAGTAGAATTTATTGCGTAACCGTGCATAAATTGAATTCACAATGTTTTGTAGCATATAAGGGTTTGTAGAAAATCTAATCACAAAACTAGTAACATCATATAAATATTTATATAAAAAGTACATAATGTCTTTGTTTTTGCACAAACGTCTGTGCCCTAAGAACGTCCTACTTTGTTTTGGATCTGCAGTGTACGTCCTGTCACAACTGTGTCATTGAGTATTGGACATTGTCCAGGGCAGGAAGTGACCAGCACCCTGCATCCTTCTCTTTCCATTAGAAAATTCCTCACAGACTCGTCAAAAAAATGGTTCCCTTCTCGGTACCCATCCAACACCAGCAGAGCCTCACTGGTTAACAAAGTCCTCAACTCATCTCCTGTCTTTTGCATGAGAGAAAGTTGCATCTTTATTTCCTGAAACAAGTCGCCCTTCACTCTGCTGCAGTCGACGGTGAAAAGAAATCGAACAGTGCTGAGATTGAGAAGTTTAGAGACGGCATGTGTGGGACCCTCAGTCCAAGAAGAAACCAGGATGTTGGCTGTCGTCTTCCCGCTTCCTGGGGGTCCCTCGAGGAAAACTACTTCTCCAGCTTCTGGGAGTAAAGCTTGAAGACTCACAGGCTGGCCCTCACTGAAAATAAGAAGAGGTGATGTAAGCTACATAGCTCTGAACAAATATTAAAACCATAGCCTTCAGCTGTGTCAACCAAATACATCCACGGACTTGCTTTCAATGTTTAAGGCTCGTCACATCAGCATTTACAACAACAACAATCAGTAAATGCTAATTATGGATTTCCTCAACAGGGTTATCTTTGTAAGTTTTGTAATTTAATGTATGTCAATTGTACACTATCATGGCAGTCCCTAATGTAGGAAACTATAGTAATATAGCGTCTTGAACCATCCGTCTTTATTTAACCCTGCTATAAACTGCCCTTCCAAGCTGGCTAGTTGAAGGTAAATAGACTAGGGGGGTCACTAAAACTTTTTTCAATGTTATGAAATAAAATGAAAAGTGAATTGTTCCTACTACTGAAAATAAGATCATAGAAGTGTGGCGTCCTTGTAATGAATGTGAAAATATGTTAGTGACTCACTTGTTTTGCAGCCTGTGTGGTAGCTCCTCCGCAGCGAAAGCTTCGCAGTGGGGTCTCACCTCGGTGCTGAGCGGGAAGTTGGAATAATGGTCTTTCAGAAACGCCCCCAGATGTTCCTCCATGCAGCCTACAGACAAAGAAACAGACCTGATCATTATCATATCAATGTAATTCCATTAAAATAAGGCAAATAGTGTGAACAAAGCTTCTAGTTTTTTGAAACAACATTTTTGTAAAGTAAGAAAATATTAAATAGGGAGACACCTTACCTTCATTAAAAATAGTTATCTCTTCATCGTTGCCTTTGTTTTTTGCTAAACCTGATGGAAAGGAACAGCATTGTTAGAAACACTCATTCAAACAGTGTGATCTTCATTAAATAGTTAATTATTTCATCATAGCTAGAACTAGTGACTCTACAATTATGGTTGTGTGAATCCACTCAGATTCACCTTAATGCAAATTCAAATCAATTGCATCTAAGAAAACTATTTGTAAATGTACATGAAAGCAGAACTTTCCACTTCTTTAATCATGATATTGTTAAGTCCATGTATACATGACATCAGCTTTCACACACTGTTGAAACTTTTCATTTATGGAATAGCTGTGTTTCAGTCCAGACACCTTCATTGAGTATTTCACATGTACAACTTTAACACTTGCCTATTTTATGACTGTAGGTGTTTTTCATTTGTAGCTTATGAGAAGTGCTTTGAGTTTGAGCTCTTCTTGCAAAAGCACAGTTCATGTTTGCTCACTTGGTGAGATTAGGGTAAATCAATATGATTAAATACATAGAAAATGTGACTTATTTGTAACTTGTTCAGCTTTGTTCGTACTCACAGGCAGCAACAGAAACGGATTTGCCTCGACCGTCAACCAAAAGGTTCCTGGTGCTATGACCTCTGCAACCTATGGAGAAGAAAACCTTATTAATTGACTGTGTTGCTCCAGCATGTGTGTATGTAAGGTTGGCATTTTTATAAAGCTGACTACATAAAATTAGTTTCAATAATGCAGCTTAGTAAAAATATATCAAATATGTTTGTTTAAAAATCATCAACTTAGCCGTCTTTATGATTGACATTGGAAATATTTAGTTGCATAGCGTAAAATTTGTTTTACATTTCTCTTAAAACAAAAATCATAGGTATTTGGACCCTAGGTTGAAGTTTCTCTTCTTATCATGTTACACATTCACATGAATATAGCAACCTGTAATAAGTCCATTATTGAAATGACATATGTGTTTATTTGGGGGAATACTACCAACAAGCCATGCTGAAAAACCACCCACACATTAACTAATGGCCTCAAATTTCCCTGTTGAGCAACCAAGACCAACATGGGTGTTTCCAAAATTAGTACCTGTCATGTGCACAGAGGACATGAATGAGCAGCATGCCGGCAAAATTCCCTCCAGATGAAGGTGACCTAGCTAAAGTGTATGTCTAGATTATATCAGTTTACACAAATACTTCCTCTTCTGTGTGCTGAAACTGACTCAGCATATACAGTACAGTTAGCATTGTCTTTCCAGTTATAAATGACATCGTTTTTTACTGGCAGTAAACAATTGGTTGTATTAAAAGTCCCTTAGGCCACTCTGAGTTTGACATAATAATGTAACACTTTGGATGCTGACTAATGATTTTGGCACTACTGTAAATTGTTTGAGGTGAGATTAAAGAAATATTTTTTGACTTCACAATAAGGTTCTGCTTAAAATGTAGCTAATGTGCTTTACACATGAAGAATTGAGTGACTGCTTTACCTTTTTGTCGTCGGTAGAAGAGCATTGCAACAATAATGGCAACCATTATCACACCTATGCCCAGAACAACGATGAGAGTATAATTTTTCTTCTGAGGAACAGGGATGTCATCTGTGCAGAGTGAAGAATGATGAGGGTTAAAATGTGCAACAAAGCATTTATATTCAGCAGTGCAATGACACTTGACGTGTTTGTATTTTAATTGTTATTCCCACGATTACAAAATGTTTGACCACCATGGAAATAACCAAATATACCAAAGACAAACATATTGCTCACTTCCTCTTTGTGGTAAACAACAACAACAAAAAACTGCAGCAATTAGAGATACTTCAGCTTGCATACTCGTTTTGTGATGAGCTGCCCTGATCTTTTATTACTTTTCTCGTTTTTGTATTCACAGACGTTTTAATTTTTTTTAGCAATTAAAAAAACCTTATACTTTCTTATTTTCAGTTTGTCAAGTTTAAGCATCTAAAAGAGACAATAATCATTCGCCCACATATAGGCAGAAGCATGAGCACAAACACACACACACAATTTCACACGTCTTTTGTAACAGAACTCCTACAATAAAGCTGAATCGAAGCTCGAACCCAGACATTACCCACATCAGAAAAAGCAGGGTAAAATCTTATGACTAATGTATTGCTTGTATTTCTCCTTTTGTCACCACGTTGTGTTGACAGCAGATATCTAGATGAAAAGAGACTGAACATAACAGGAAACTGCAGTAGGTGGTGATAGATAGGCACATGATATTATATTTCCTGTTTTAGATGAAAATATTCAAAAAGTTGACTTGAGTCAAGGTACTCTTTTACATCCAGCAATTGGACACATTATCTGTTTGCTTGCTTCTCATTTGATTCTTTATCTTTTGTGAAATTGTTGGGCGGCAAACAAGCTGAAAATAAATAAGGGAGGAAAGATAGAAGAAAGTTCACTGGCCAATATACTGTAAGAGTCAACCTATAAAAACCCTGTGTGCTTTCAGATTATCTCCATCCAATTGATAGAGTTCTGTGTGATAAGAAAGCCTTGGAAAGGAAACCAAAATGTACCTGGAATTTGAAATGTTGCGGAGGAGCCATCTTTTGTGAAGATACACGTGTAGTTGTTTTTGGCCGACGATCCGACGCGTATCTGACTGGTGACTTTGACAAGCTGCTGTGGAGTTGTCACGGCAGTGGTATTCGGATTGAGTGTCTTCAGGTGTCCATCCTGCCACATAACAGGAGACTCCGGGTATCCCTCAGACTGGCAAGAAAGCAGCAGCTCATCCCCCCCTGCAGCCTTCTCAATGTGTTTAGTCACTGATTTATAAGGTGCTAGGGAAGAATCAGATAGAAAGAACATATTCTTAACAATGTGATCATAAAGGCTTACATGATAAGGGAAATATCTTGTAGAAAGTAAATGAGCCAAAATCATTCTTTACCAAATTGAGTAATGTTCTGCTTAGTTTCATTTTCATTTTTGAGATATACTGTGCTCAGAAATGACCCCAGGCTATTCCAAAAAAGCATGACTCTTCCCAGAACAAAGCCCATTAGGATTTTGCAATAAAAAGTAACACTGTCAGACTTACCAACAACAGACAAAGTTGTGGTTTTATAATCAGCTCCTTCTCCTGTTTGCACCAAACACTGGTACGTCCCAGAGTCTTTGATCCTGAGTCTGGAGATCTGAAAAGAGACAAAATGAGAAAGTTGAGACCTTAGATGTGTTTATGTCCATAAAACAGATATTCCCTCATGAACTAAAGGTTCCCGATGAACCAAATTATTTAGCAAAATCCCCCTTTTTCTTATTATAAATAGAAGGTATCTTCTGTGCCTTCTTGGCAGGTATACATGATACCTTATATCATGTATACATGTATAATAAGCAGGAATTGTATAGCCTGCCTGGGAATTTGCCTGGGAATTTGAACATCAGTAATTCCCGATAGGAGTAAATTATTCAGTGGACATTTGACTGGAAATAACCTCTCCTACTCAGATTCTATGTAATTCTAGGAAAGTGACTCCCATTATTCACCTTTAGTTTGGACCAGCCGTCCCGCAGCTCATCAGTGAGAAGCATCACTCGGCCATGGTAATCAGGGTCCTGGGATGCCGAGTTCTCCTTCCAGTTATCCATACGGTACACGTCTCGGACCAAGGTGGAGGTGAACCAGTGCCACGTCACCTTCAGGTAAGCATCATGAGGGTTTGATAGTTTAGGCTGAAACCTGCAGCCCATCACAACATCTTCTCCAAACTTTGACTCATACACGGTTCGCTCTGCCTCAACAGTGAACAACACTGCAGGGAAATAATACATAATAAAGTCAGACATCATCAATATGCTAAACAGCCCTGGAGCAATATACAACATTGACTTAATAGAAATGTTTAATGTAAATGCAATTGGTCCTGTGTGTGCTCTTGTTTATTCATACACTTTTTTACTACACACCTGAGAGGGATGGTTGAAACATGACATTCAAAACTACAATAACGGCCCAATCCATTGAGTCCTAAGGAAGAAACACAAGGGGATTTACAGATGTTGAAATATTTAGCTATAACTGTCTAACTGATAAAGCTGAGTCATTTTACTGGAGAAGGCAAGATGTGAATTCCACCGTAACTAGATTGATCTAGTATTAATATGCTGACTCTCACACACACACACACACACACACACACACACACACACACACACACACACACACACACACACACACACACACACACACACACACACACACACACACACACTCAAAATCACATGTTGGTCACATACATTTTATTCCTAACACCAGCATGACTCAGCTCTGAAAATCCAGTAACTTGGATGAGTCATGACAGGGAAACAAAACAAAATGCTGGATACTGTGTCACACACACACACACACACACACACACACACACACACACACACACACACACACACACACACACACACACACACACACACACACACACACACACACACACACACACACACACACACACACACACACACACACACACACACACACACACTGTAAACAATGCTAGTCATGCTTCAATGGAAAAATATTCAGCCAAACAATTCTATGAATAAATCACTACGTTGTCTTAAATAAACATGATTGTACACTTCAGTCATCATGTTAGGATAAAACCCTACTGACAAATTAAGATACTTTTTATTTACACAGCACATTATCTTGTGTGAAAAGCACATACACATACACACGTGATTTTCTGTGCAGATTTCCTGTGAAATGAAAATGTCAACAGCATTTCTGCAGAACTCGTATGACTTTGAATGTGGGAGAGCTGACAATGAGTATTGAGCTTTGTCAGTCGTTGGTTCACAAAAGGCATCATTTAAATAAAGTAAGTAAATTAAAAGTAGGTGTTAGGACCTTAACATATTTAGCCTGCAACAGTTCATATAACTGTATTGGTATTCAAGCTACAAAGCTAGACATAAAGGTGATACATGTCCAATACAAAAATATATAATATTGGAAATAAGGTTGTGCATAAACATCAGCCATCAAAGTAGGCTATAGGCTACTACATAAAATAATAACAATACAAATAATAATGATAATATACGATTAGAAGTTGTGCAACCCCCAACTTCTGTTCATCTGTTAGCTGTTGTTAAAAGTCAATGATATTTTCTTACCTGCTGGTCATATATCAGATAATGTTGGTAGCGTTTTCATCAAGTGCTCCCTTCTTCTGCAGTCTGCTCCGATGCTGCTACTCATATCAAGGCAAGAGGGAAATCCCAACTCGAAAACACACCCACTTCACTGTCACGCGGCTCGACATTGGATCAATCGAAAATTCACTTATGCGTAATATACCGTATTTACGGTCCCATATTGTGAATAGGCTGTAAAACACATCATAAAACCTTTTACATTCCAATAATACGGACCGCGACTAGGAAACAAGTAGTAGGCCTACCAATGAACACGGAAGTAGACCACAGTAAGAACAATCTTATCTTACACTGGCTTTACATCAAAAGTCATAAAATGGGGACATACAGTAAGTAACCCTCAGCCGTAAAATATGTATTGGAAAATACTTGTCTGTACACAGTATCCAGGTACATTTATACATTTGAATGTATTATAATAGGACTTAAAGCCCCAAAAGTAAAAATACTCATTATGCAGCAGAATCTGAATCTGAATCACATTGTTGAAAATGTTATTACTTAATGAAAAGATGAAGCAAATTATATTTACTTTAAAGCCTGCTGGGAATTTTAACTACAAAAAAATCCCCATATTACTATAAATAAATAACAATGGCTGTTAAATGGATGTAATTAGGAATACAAGTAAAATATTTCCCTGTGGCAAATGTGGCAAAGTAGAAGTGTAACTAGCAGAACATTTTGATAATTGAGTAAAATCAACGCTTAATTGGACAAAGAACTTGAGTTGGTGTTTGTTTCTTTCCATCTCTGAGGATATAACACCATGAGTATTACTTTCACACAGGCTTTCACAAAGGTCTTTTGGAAAGATGGAAATTAGAATGTAAAACAAGTTTTGTATACAGTTGTTTTGTTACATTGAAATGTTTCCTGTGACTAGGCAACCCCTTGGAAAATCCTAAATAGTGTAGGACTTTACTACCCAGATCACTCATATACAATACCACTGCATTGTCCTTGCAGGAAGGGTTTGTGATACAGATCTTGTGTAAATAGGTTTTATTCCCCAGTGATATCCAATTGGTTAATGTCTTATAAGGTAAAAACATTGCTACAGCATTCGGTATGACACTAATGTATGGTACTGTAAGGGTGTAACCAGGGTATAAAAAATACTGAGAGCAAAAGTCAAATAGAGGTGTAGTTGAATACATTATGCATTAGTTTGCTTTATTGGTTGATCATTATTGTTACCTTTAAGTTATACTTGTTGAAGTATGGGCTCAACGATTTTAACACATATGCAACTCTGACCTAAATCAACAGTAGAAAAGGGGAAAATACTTGATGGGCACAGTAATCAGAATCAGAACCAGTAGTCCTGTATTCGTCCCACAGCAGGGACATTTACAATGTTACAGCAAAGGGACAGTCACAAAAGGCAAAAAGTAAAACAATTATTTGTGTTGAGTTAATAGTGCACCTGGGGGGATGGAACATCAGGTGTTATTTGTCCAGCAAGGTGGAAGTTGACCAGGAGTCCCCCATGCTTTTTGTAATGCATTAATGAAAAAATATAGCTTGGTTTGATATGGTTCAGTGCAGAATGAAGATTTTCACTTTTACTTTTTAAACAAAAAGCAGCTTGGGATGCTAACTCTCTCACAGTGTTATTGTAGTATACTCCCACTTTGGGCCCCGGTTGTGTAAAGTCCAAAGTATCCACTGTAGTGCCGAGAGACGGGAGTCGGAGGCGTTGCATCGAAGGTACAACCACTACATCACTCAACTTCTGTTTGGTGCAAAGACTGTATTTATATAGGTTTGGTGCTACGACTGTAACAAAAAACATCTACATTTAGACAAGATGTACACCCACAAACACCAAGAGAGGGCGCCATTTAATTGTTTATGTGAAACTAGCCTTCAACCACGGACTGTAAAGTGCCTTGGACAAGCACTAAACCTATTAAACACAAATAAGCAGTGTGTAAAAAATGTTGAGGGTGTACTGTTATCATAATGTTTTGTCATTTGGAAAGCATCATCCTTGTTTATGTAAGAACCGTAGAACGTGCTGTTTTGCTTTTAGTTTTATTTTGGAAGTTTAACCGGAAGTACCATGTTTGTTTATTGTCACTGATAGTTACAGGTAGACCAGAAGTTAGCAGTTTTTGAGTTCATGCCCCACACTTTTTGTTTGTTGACAATTCTCGTCACTCCTGTTTTTGTGACGAGTGTCATTACTGTCTAGGTAAGTAAAACCCACATGTGTAGTCAACCTAGATAGCGTTACCACTCAAGGTTAATCATATCGGGTGAAGCATGGGGAGCTACTTTATGTTTTAATATTAGCTCATGACGTTTGCCAAATTAATGAACAAGAGAGCCCAAACATCACAGAAACAAACGTCAAGTCGTCTGCTAACTTTAAGCAATGCTAGCACCTAGCATTAGCAACAAGTATGAAACGGTGAAATGAAGGACGAGTGAGCTAACGTTACTGAGTTAGGCAGCCTGACAGCTCTAAGTTAAGCTACAGGAAAGTGAAACCACGACGGTGACATTAAGTAACATGTTAAAGTAAATGCAGTTTTAACGTTTGTTTGTACCTCTAATAGTAGTTAGTTTGGTAACGTTTGGGTGCTGCATACATTTGACTATCTGTGTTTTTTGGCCAGCAGTTACAGCGCCACCATGGGGTTTCTACTGTCTAAATCCATGGATGCAAACTTTAAAAAGCAGCAAGAATTTATGCTCCACAATGCACGGCTGCAGGTGAGTAAAGTTACACCACCTCACATGCTATTAGAATGAATCGTTTATTTCATGCACCTGTAACAACGTGTCAGGGGGGTCATGGAAGTGAGTGTTGGACTACTTTGCACACCAATACCAACTGGATTAACTGACCAGAGCAATTCACAGCACACAAGGCCCTAAAAGCCCTAGGTTCACTGTTTGGCAATTTCATGAATTGTCATATTCTGAAGTAATATGGAGAATAAAGCACACATCTGACACAATGATGACCTGCATTTGCTTTATCCCCTGATCCAGGGACCCTGTTTTTGAAAGAGTCCCAGTGTCAAATCAAGCTTAAAGATTCAAATGTAATTGTTTTATTTACTTATATTGCACATTTTCCTGATAATGTATTTTTTGTTGTCATTGCAACCCAGCAAACATGAATCTGCAATAATATCTTTTAATGTAATAACTATACAGCACAACATTAAAACCAACATAACGTGTGTTTAATGTAATTACTACACAGCAAACATGGTGCAATGTAATGTTCCAGGGTACTTTTCTACCAGCCCACACAAACAAGAATTCTGGTATTTTTTCCAGAAAGCAGACACAGGCCATCTATCTGCCATCACATTAGTCTATCTTATCTATCTGTCTTGTCAGCGTGGCGCTCTGTCTTTCTCTTTGGATTCACACAGTCAAAGCCAATAGTATAAGCTTCAGTGTGAGTCTCAGCGTTTCCATTTAGAGACCACATGTTTTATTGCACTCATTGTTTCATTTAAACAAAGTATTGGTTTTTTCTTTCTCCTTTTTGGAGCCAATTTGTTGTGATGTATTCATGCCTGTAAGCTGCTGAGCAGCAGGTGGAATGTGTGACTGTCATAACACCAATAACATTATCCTACGTAAACCAAAAAGTGATGTTGTTTTCTGCCCTGTAATTTCCCCTCTGCTCTTCCAGGTGTACATGTGGAGGGTGAATATTAATAAGAATAATATGATTTGGTTATGCCAAAGGTTTAGCAATCAAGTATCAGAGCTCCATCCTTTGGTAATGAAGGTTATTCACAAATAAATATTAGACGCATGTTTAAGCATTGCTGTATACATTCTTTCATTGACTTACTACAAATAGTTTCATATTAATAATAGCCACTCAGTATTGCTTTGAATAACTTAATGAATAAGAACGCTCTACTTTTTCATAAAATTGGATTGATGCATTTAACTGTTCACATCTTGGCTGAACAAAAATAACCAAACATTTTTGAACAGTCACTAATGTCATGGTACTGTAATTGTGAAATTATATCTCTTATCTCCAAGTTTAATGAATAAGATTGCTCCTGGCAATTTCTGAATATCTGGGAAGCCACGCTGTTGCCTCCCCCTGCATTAAGATGTCAAAGTGATTGCTTGACTGTGTTTTCAAGTCAAATCATTCAAAGCTAATTGTTCCTTTCCTTGTGGCCTCTCAGGTCAAAGTCATCGGGCTTTGTCTTTAAATCATGGTGTCCATCTTAAACATCACTGGTACTTGAGAATTTAGTGGATAGGGGTGTTTTTTTATGACACATTTCCTGAGGATGAATGGCAGCTGTGAAATGACGTCAATGAGGTTTTATATTTAATATTTAAAGTGGCTTCTTCTGGGCTAATAATAAGGTTGTGTTTTTCATTCACGGTTCCTGCTTTTGAGTGGCTTTTATTGTGAAGTAGGTTAGTGGTGAGTTTTTGATTTTCATGTTTGTAAAAGTTTTTTTTACGACCATGATCACCTTCTTAAGATAATGCAAACTCTAATAATGGACAGTAATATTGCTTGTTTAGCCCTTTTTCCCAAAAAGAAATGATATAAAAAGAATACGTACTTTACGGAAACATACACTGAGCATCAATTACTTTTCCTGAAGTACTACAATGTACAGTACAGGTTAATTAAAAAATAAATACAGATACATCCTGATCAGGCATATGTAAGACTATAAATGAATGCTGTATTTTTAAATTAGGTTGGGAGGGCAGCTTAAAGCTTTAAAAGCTACTTCGGCCATCAATGAAGTGCTCTAGCGTATTCATCATTATATAATCAGTTCTTACAGGAGCACTAGTGGCTAAAACAGAATTGCTATTATCTGATCTTAGTTAAAGACTGCTCAATATCAGAGCAATAGACATGAATAAATGAAATAATAGCTATGTCCCCTCAGGTAAAACATGAATTACAATTATTTGTCCACTACAGGATGTTGTGACCTGCACATTTGAGTAAACATCATAAGAAATGTTCAAACAGCTTTAGCAAAGAGGTATAAACATATTGTTATAATACATTTTTTGTCAAATCAGGAACATATCCAAAACAGCATAAGAATACATCTAAAAGAACATTCCTCATGTGTTGCTTCTTCATCATCAAACTATCTTACCTGTTGAAGCACATAGTTGCTGAGAACTGTTTTTAGATAGCCCAATTCTAAACACTTGCAAATTATGCAACCTTTGTTTATTTAATTGGTCAGGAAAATTCGCAGGTACTTAGAGTACCTAGGAGCCAGCGTATCTATGTTTTTATTGGCGTAAACTGTTTAAATGATGGACTGAGTCACTGTGACGGCCCCTAGGCCTTAGACTCAGGTCCCTGGTTAGCCACTCCCCCAAATCAGGAGAGATTGCTGACACCTGATTTGGGTTGACTGCTCAGCTACAAGTATGGGTGCCTGAGCAGTCAGTCTTTCTCTCCTCTTGGGTTGCTTGGCTCTACTGGACCTTGGTTTGTTTGTGCTGTCGTTATATACTGATGCATGTTCACACACCCACACACTACACACATTACTGATGAACTGACTTCATAGTTAATTTAGTTTCTTTAAATAAATGCACTTCAATTGGATGAATCATGTGTGGTCTCCTTCCTTTGTCCGTCCTTGAGCTAGGGCGTGACAGTCACCATAATGTTACCAAGCAACCTGTTTTGCAAACCACCTTTCAAACATAGCAGATAATGCCCTTAACTATGTCAAACTCTTAGCCTTTAAATAATTGGCACCAGAGGCTGCTGCCGTGTTCTACTTCTTTCTGTGTGTATACTGTAATGATGTGTGTGCATCAGCTCTCCAAGCAGCGACTTGCCCTGCGTATGCGTGAAGCCTTTAGAAAATGTCAGTGGATTTCCCGCTTACTTTTCGGTTCTGATCTCACCTTGTCACTTTCAGAATGAAATAAGTGAGGCTCATTTCTTTCTGCTACTTTTCATCCCTCGTGATGTTGCTGTTCCTTCCAAGCGAGAGACAAAGAGTCTATTTTTAAAGCACACACGTAGGTAAAGGTAACACTGTGCTTCCTTTTCCTTTTGTTGTGAAACGTGAACATGGGTTTAGACATGTCCACGTTACAAAGTTCAATGTCCTGGAAGTATTTTTGGAGAGCTTGTTGGAAATGGAACGTCATTACTTATCTGGTATCAACCGAAAAACAAAAAGCTGACAGTAGATATTTAATCATTTTCACTTACAATTTAAAACTGATAGCTTTTTTTAAGAGGGCATTAACACTTAGCATTTTGTTATTGGTACCAAAAATCAGCGATTGTATCTGGGCTACTGTTAGAAATCTTCACATGATAGCTAATTTCCAGTCATGCTGTCAGAAGGCATAGAGCCAGCGGTCTCTCAAACATCCAAGATCTGTGATTGTTACCAGATATTGAGTGATTTTGATGTAAGCCACATTTGTGTTTACTTACATCTGTGGCGTTGAAAGTGCATGTAGATGTTTGTATGTTTGGATAAGTGTGTTCCTGTTTGTTACTGAGATTGCGGTGAAGTAGCAGATGTAGCAGACGCGTATTGGCAGTTTGAGGCTTTGATTCAAAGCGGTGGGTGGGGTGCAGCAGAGAGGGTGTTGAGTTTCCGGATGGTGAGAGCGCTTGCTGGCAGTGTTTATGCTTGGTGTTAATGATTGGCGCGTTCATCAAAGATGAGTTTAATGTCCTGGAGGATTTTCGCAAATTTGAAACTCAATTCCATTTCAGTTGCATCAATGCTAATGATGCTGTGGTTGTGGAGGGTGGAGATCAAATACTGTGTTCCTCCTTTACTGGCATTGGTTGGCATCAGGGCTGGGAGTAATACAATGTTTATTGGCAATTAACATTATTATTTCTTATCTGTTTATCATAATGCCTTTATTAGTACCACAGAGGGGAAATGTACGTTGTTACAGCAGAAAAAGAGCCACAGACAGCTTCATGTTACATGCATACAAAAGTATAAAATAATAAAAAAAGGTTAAAATAAAAAGTTACACAATTTACAAAATACACATCCTGTAACAGTTCTTAGGATTTAGCAGCCAGGTATATATTGCACAGTTATTAACGGCACATATATAGATTTATTTCAAATGTATTCTAAACTTTTGACATACCACAAATAAATAAGGGACAAATATTATGTCCATTGTTTTTTTGTGTTGTTGGACCGGTCTGATATTTAATGAATCATAATGCATTTGTTACGATAACATAACTAGAGTTCCAAAAAACATATGAAGAAGTCTCCTTTTGATGGTCTTATGATGGGTATTTTTCCTCATTACGTTTTTTTACAGTTAAAGGATGAATTAAACAAAAGTATAGGCAGATTCATTCATAATGAAAATAATTGTTAGTGGAAGCCATACAAGCATTTATATAAGCATTACATTTCAATGCATCACTTCTCATCAGTCCATTGGCAAGCTACAATCATCAGGTGTTGGCTTTTGTATCAATACCGAACACTGATTATACTTTACACCTACACTAAAATAATTTCTCTCTCTTATTCACTTTGGAATATTCCACTTTTTGCTTCAAAAGTTTCAGCCGGGAACTAAAGTGACATTGACAAGAAGTAGGCAGTTTCAGGGAAGGTTAATACAACCAAACATCCCGTATCAATGAGCTACTTCCTGTTCTGCTTCCCTGATGAGAGGAGAGATGACGTTATGAGAGGGGACATTTCACCAGAAACCCTTCA